AAAAACACACTTGATTGCATTACAGGGTTTAAGTTTAAGGAGCCTCTTGGAGTCCAGAGGCTGTAATTCCCCAGTTTCAGTGGGGTTTTTTCAGTGGTATTTTTCAATTTGTATGAGGAGGCTGGAAAAAGAAAAACAGAATCTCTGATCAGAAGTTTGAGAGACCCTCAGGAGAGAAAAAAAATTAAGATCAAGTAGAGGATCTTAAAGGACAGTTAGAGAAGCATTTGATGGTGGCTGAAACAGAACATTCTGCCTGAATGAAAGAGTGAAATCTGACAACTGTACCCTGCCATGTGACCAGAACGTGGTGGAGTGCTCAAGGGACGGTTGTGTGAGTGCGCATGTTTGGTGCATCCAGCTGCACCAGCCAGCAAGTAAAGGACCTGAAAAGCTCCATGTGAGGGCTGGAACTGTGGGCAGGGATACTGGGCAGGCAGAAGAGCTGCACCCAGAGTGAGGCCATCCATGAACCAGTGTTTGTGAGCCTAGAGAGGGAGGGCATGATGTGTTTTCATCAGTGAACATAAAGCTCTACCAGTTAAAGAAGAGGTGGAAACTCAGCTGTGTTTATGTCTTACATGGGTACCACAAGTGGTTGCGGTTGAGGGTAGCACCTTGTTCATGGCAATCTGTGTGACTGAATGTGTCAGCATCCTCTGTGTATGCATCCTGTGTCTGTGTCTCTGGCATTTGTGCTCAGCTTTGCTGCTGGGTGAACCCGCAAACCATGGCTGCTGTCATTAGACAAATGCTGTCATCATTCTTACACACGAGGGAGGATGGGCAGGAAAACCCAGAGTCAGCCACTGTGATTGTCAGGAGCACAAGAGGTCACTGTGTCCAAGGATGCTTGGATAGCTCCCTGCTCCAATGGGATGAATGTTCTGTTATTTCTCCACCCCCAAGGAGCTGGAATCCTTCTGTGGATCATTAAAAGATTCTGGCTTTAAGAACAACAGCAGTTTGAGTGCAGGGGACAGGCCAAGTGACAGTTTGAATGCCATCCAATTGGTGTTTCTCCCACCTCCCCTGAAATTAGGCACTAAAGGCAGAAACACTCCATGAGGGAAGGGTGGCTCTGTGCAAAGAAAGGAGCTAAGAGAGTATTCAGACCCTCCTTCCACCAGACAGCCAGAGGTAAAGCTAGTTCACACAGCAGCAGGAACTTCGCTTGGAATGTGTCAGTTCCTACTGAATATGCTCCAAACTACTCAACCACCACTCACTGAGGCTTCATTTAAGAATGAAGAAGGTAGCAAAGACTGGGGAAACTGAGACATTCCCCCAGTCCCATACAACTGCTGGGGACGTGAAGCTGCTCCAACTTCTGTGATGTGCCCAGGAATTTCTCCCTAGGAGATACTCCTGCAAAGACAAAAGAGGAAACGTGGGAAAACTCTCCAATTGCTTGAAAAATGTCTCTCCCATCCAAGTTTCAGGCTGTACTTCACTTTATCACTTCATTCTACAGCTACTCAGGATGCTGGAAGGTCCCACAGTGATCCTGCCTGAAGTAATTTATTCATCTCCCTGCAAACTGTTGGCAAAGTGTCTTTAGAACACAGTAACAATGGATATTCCTGCCTTTGCTTGTGTGTTCACTCAGTGGCCCACTCCAACAAAGGGAAGAGGATTGCATCTCTATGACAGGATTGGTTTGATCCAAATTTTAGACTGGCTTCCCCACCTCTTTCTTGTGCATGTATTTTTCAGTTTATTGTCTATTCTCAGTGTACTTGAAATGAGTTGAGAGCAATTAATTACTTTTATGAAGTCACAGAGCAAATGGTAACACCATTAAAATGCTGCTGTATCTAAAGATACAACTAATACAGGAAAAGGAAAGTTGAATCACCTTAATTTTGTTTTCCCCTTTTTTTAATAGTCCACCAGCATTCAGTTGCTCTTCTGCTACCTATCCTCTTCTATAGCAAAAAACTGTTTGTGCTCTGAGCTCATCTAAATTGCAATTCAGGTTATTTCCATGACAGCATCTGGTGCCATTGCTGGGATTCCCATGTCCATGCTGCAGCTGAGTGTCCGTGTATGTGCTGGGGCACAGGGAGGCCACATGTGGGAAGATGAGCATCAGGGAGTGCTGTGGCACTGTAGCCTTTGAGAGATTATGGGGATGCTCACAGGTGTAACTTGTGTGTTTGGGAATGTGTAGGAGGCAGGCTGCTTTAAACCTGGAGTAAGGGAGATGTAGGGTGGATGTAAGATTGATGAAGAACTCACTGGTGTCCAAACTGAGAGGTGACTGAATGCTATGCAAGCAGCCTGCAGGGATGTCCCTTGGTGCTTGTCTTAATTATGCATCCCTACATCAGTGCAAAGGAATACACTCTAAAATCCTGCAGCAGGGAAGGGAGGCTAATAGACTTCTCTGATTACTTTGTAATAAGACAAAAAATCAGGGAAGGGAGGCCATCTAAGCTGGGGCTGTCCACAGTACTGACTGGACTGCTGGGGGTGCATCTGCAAGGCTGCCCTCATGCTTCCCCCACTCCCCCGAGGTCATGACTTTTAATGCACTAAATGCCTTTAACTTCTTAGAGAATGTTAAAGCATCTAAATATTAATCTGCAATATAGTGGCAATGGTGCTTCAAGCTCTTTTCCTCTCCTGGACTCTGTGTCATCAGGCTTCTAGAAAAAGGAAACCTTTTGTTTCTGGTTGTGTCTACAATTTAAGTAATGATGTGACTTTTAAAATTTCGTGTTGTACTTATTTGACTTCATTTCTCCTGAATCTCTAATGTGAGAATGTCTCCCCTAGTACCTCTCCCTCTTCCTTTGCTGTGATACCTGAACACACCATCGTCAAAAGATTCCAGATTCACTGGCAACACTTAAATTCTAAATATAACTCAAACTTTTCTGTGCAATCAGAGCTCTAAGACTTATTCCTGTAAATCAGATGAATGCTGGTACCACTTTTATGCTACTGATGCACCAATAAAGTTGTGTTGAAATGCCTGGCTGAAACTGTTTCCTAAAGCACTATAGCATCAGTTCTGTTTTACAAATAACCGAGGTTTAGCACAAAGGAGAGAAAATTAGAAAAAAAATTAAAACCGAAAAGACAACTGAAAAATCAGGCCATTTAAGCTAAGGAACTATCTCAAGCAAGTTTTATAAGGCTCCATTCCTACTTTCTCCGTAAGACTTGTTCATATTAGCTTCCCTGGTGTATTTAATACATTTGTCTTGCAGAAGTTGGGATGGAGAATGAGGTTGTAGGTAGGAGAATTAGCCCAGTACGTTTAATGCAGACTACAGAAATGTTTCTGCGCAACTCTGGGGACAGAGATGTGTTGGACGGCTGTGGAGGGGTCTTGACAGCTGAGGGACACTGGATCAGCTCTCTGTCTCTCTCCAGCAGGGTTGTGTGCTCGTGTTTGCTGTCTAAGTGTTTATGTCCTGAGTGAAAAAATAAAGGAAGATTGTAAATGAAAGACTGTAGTAAGTAGGAATTGCAGTTTCCAGAAGGAAACACCCTTGTTGCCCCGGGCAGCCAGTGATTCTTTCTCAAACTCTATTTCAGAGCACTTAATTCAGGCCAGATAAGAAATCAGGATTGAAAGGATGGCTTCACCTCTGGTCAAGTGCAGGCAGTGACTGTGTCTGGAGCTGAGGTTTCTCTCTCTGGGGCTGCTTCCAGTGCTTCCTAACGCATCCCTTCTTTGGGATGAAGACAATATTTTACACACGATCACATGGAGCTATACTAATTAAGTTTTATAGCACACCAAATATAATCACTGAAATGGCATTTAAAATTCCAGGAGCTAAGCCTGGCTATGTTCCCACTGCAGCTGTGTCTGTGTGCAGCTTGACTCATGCTCTGCTGTGTCCCTGTGCTGCCTGTCCTTGAGAGAGATCCCTGGGTGCAAGACCCCAAGCTCTCCACGGTGCAGCAGAGCCCACCCTGTCCCTTCCCTCCATGCCTGCATGTGCAGTGTCACCCAGGCTGGAATGAGCTACTCAAGAGGGAGCTCTGCAGTAACACACACTGTATGGGGTTTTCAGTTCTGTTCTTCAGTCCTGGGCTGAAGATTTCTCCATCTCTCTATACCAGCAGGGATGACACTCTGCAGAGTGAACACCTGGGCCCCTAGGATCCTCCAGGCCCTTCCAAGCCCCCTTTTCATTGCAATTTTGCCATGTATCCACCTGGAAGGAAGGCAGGAGAAAACCCTATAAAAACCCGGGATGAAACCATAGACAGGAGATCACCCAACACCTCTGCAGGAGGCAAGGGTCAGATGTTTTCCTCTGGTCCCATCCTGGGCAGAATAGCATAGGCCTGGCCACGGAGCCATGAAAACCCGAGCAGGAGCCCAGCTAAGCACCTAACAGGAGGCCCCAGGCTAGAGTAAAAGCACCTCAGCTGTGCCCGTGAAGCCTGCAGTGACTAAGACCGCGCTGCTCCTGTGTGTCCAGGTCTCTGGAGTTTCAGCGGTGTTTTCTGCCTTTCCATATTCAAACCACACCCCTGCAGCCCCCCAAGACACTGCCCCGCAGAACCCTGACCTCCGGCAGCAGGTGCTGGTCCCGCAGCCCGGCCTGCTGCCCTGGGGAGAGGCAGAGCCCACAGGGCTGCGGCCGGGCCGGGTCTGGATCGGCGGAGGGCAGAGCCGGCGGTAGGAAGGTGGATCCGTGAGGCCGGACCACCCGCCCCCCTCCCTCCCCTACCCCGATGTGGGGAGGGGCGGCCCAGCCGCTCCGTGAGGAGCCGTGGCTCCGCCCTAGGGTAGCCGTGCCGGTCGGGGCAGCACCCCCGCCCTCCCCCAGGGCTGTGTGACCCCCAGGGCCGCCGCCACGGCCCGTGCCCGCCCTCCCCGCCCCGCTCCTCGGGCCGATATAGCCGCGGGGGGCCGGCAGGGACCCGCCCGCTCTCCCCGACGGCGAAGGGCAGCTCCCGCGCCTCCGTCCCGCCCTGCAGAGGGACCCCGCTCCGGCAGCACCCAGGTGTCTGCCCCCCTTCTTCCCGACATGGCTCTGTCCCTAGCCGGCGAGTCGGTCCCCGGAGACGGCAGAGACTCGCTCGGGATAAGCCCCGCCGGCCTCGCCTCCTACTACCCCTCTTTCCTCCCACCCGCCCATTACTTCGAGACGGCCCCCGACTTCTTCCAGCCCCTGAAACCCCTGGGCGAGCTGGTTTCCTCCTCGCCGCCTCTGCCTCCATTCACCTTCAGCAGGGTCCCCGCTTTTCTGAGCCAGCCGCCCCCTCTGCCCACCGAGCCTTTCCCCAACCTTCCTTTGCCCGTCTACACCAGGCTGCCGGCCCCCTTCCCTCCCAGTGAGGGCTCGGCCCTCGGGACGGGGGCCCCGGGGTCGCTCTCGCCGCCCTACCCGAGCCCCCCGCACAGGGCAGCCCGCAGCCCGGGGGCAGAAGTGGCGGCGGGGCAGAGCTACAGGTACCACTTCACCGAGGAGGAGCTCAACGCGGTGCTGTACGGGGCACTCCGGAGCAGCCAGCCGGCCGGGAATCTCCACGCCATCTCGGGGCTCCGGGTGTCCCCCGCCAGCTCGGGTAAGGGGTATTTGATGGTGGCGAGAGGGACACAGGGTGGCCCTGGGCGGCAGCTCGCTCCTCGCAGCCAGGTGTGCGAGAGGGTTCGGAGACAGTCCCAAAAGGGGTGCAGGCAGCCAGGTTCAAGCGGCATCCCCGGGGGCACGCCGGACTTATCTTCCCTGTGGTTTTCTTGCTTTACGAGGGCCTCCCCCTCCCCCCCCCCGAAACAACTGGGGGGGGGGGGGGGGGGGGGGGGGTGATTCGGGCTGCGGCCTCTGTCGGGAAGGTAGGACCCGCTCCTACAGGGCCGGTGCTGAAGAAGGGGTTCCTTTTCTGCAGGCGCTGCGGACTCCGCCGCCCCGCTGCTCGACCGGGACTCGCTGCAGCTGCCCGAAGGTAGGTGTCCCGCACCGCCCGCGCCGCGCCCGCCCGCGCCGCCCCGCGCTCAGCCCGCTGTCACCCGCAGGGCTCTCGGTGCTGCGGGTGGCCTACGGGGACGTGTCTCAGCTCGGAGTCTTCTGTACCGACCCCATCCCGAAAGGAGTCCGCTTCGGCCCTTTCCAAGGCAAAGTGGTCAACACGAGCGAGATCAAGACTTACGACGACAACTCGCTGATGTGGGAGGTAGCGGAGGCACCGTCGGGCTCACCCCGCACCCCCAGCGCGGGGCTGTGGCGAGGTTTTTGGCATCCCCTCTACCGTAGCATGAAAGAGTGGCTCGGCCCAGTGTGGGTGGTGGGACTAGTGAGAGCAGGACGTGTACGTAAGGTCAAACCTGATCCTTTTTCCTCTGCTCGCCAGATCTTTGAATACGGTGGCCTGAGCCACTTTATCGATGGGAAGGGCGCCGCTGGCAACTGGATGTCCCTGGTGAACTGCGCCAGGTTCCCCGAGGAGCAGAATTTGACGGCTATCCAGTGCCAGGGACAAATCTTCTACGAGACCTGCAAGGAAATCTTCCCGAACCAGGAGCTGCTGGTGTGGTACGGCGATTGCTACGTGCAATTTCTGGGCATCCCCATCAGCTTGAAGGGCATGGCGGAGGGGAAGAAACCCCCGCAGCACCCCGAAGGTGAGCCTGCCAGCAACCCCTTGAGCGACACTGCCCCTTATTCCCATGGACGTGTGCCTGGCCTGAATTAGATTCACACGAGGGGAGGTAAAGAAACACGAGCACCACATTTGTCCGGCGTTTTACTTTAAAAGCTTCCCAGACCCTGCGATGAGGCGGTGGTGGGTGACCGGTCCTGCCGCGGGGGCAGCCCCGGTCCCTCGGGTCTGTCCGCCCGCTCTCCCAGGGAGCCGATCCCCGGCCGCCCCTTCCTGCGGCATCCAGCACCCCGAATCAGCAGCTTCCCCTCGGCACAGGGAATCCGGGGGTTTGCACCGAGGGCTGCCGGCAGCGCGGAGCAAGAGGCTGCTCTTTCTTCCGCCGTCAGTCCGCTCCCAGTCCGCGGCTCCTCGGGGAGTTTAAAGTGTTGTTTGGTCTGACGATTGTAAAACATCTGGTGGTCCTGGGCCGAGCTTGCCTGGGCCCTCAGCGCCGTTTTTCAGGGTCCCGTTTTGGGAGGAGGTGGGGTTATTCCACCTTTGGTCCTGTTTCATCTTAGGATTGCACACCTGACTTTCGTGCAATTGACGCTCTCAGTAAATGAGGGAGGCTGAAGTCGTTCCGATCCCGTAATGCCAGTATTGCTTGCAAAAGAAATGTCAAATGAACTTGCACCAGGGTGAGGGGAGAGGGACGGTAGTTCTACTTGCAATATACAGAAAGTATGATCTTATAAGCAAAATTTATGTATGGAGAAAACAGATTTGTGCCAGTGCGGGAAAAGCTGGAGCAGGGAAGGGATGGGTCAGCCCGGTGCAGCAGAAAGGGGGAGAAGCAAATTTGCATGAAAATTTGGCATGGAAAATTTTGTACCTCTTGTTTTGAAGTGTCTAATTTAACAGATGCTAAATTGTTCATTTAATCTTAAGGCTTAAGCTAAAGCTACTTTTATTAAAGACAGAAAATAATGTATAAACGCCTGAAATTTTTCTGGTGTTTTTCCCAAATTCAGTCGTAAAAAATGAATTGAAATTTTTTAAAAAGTCAAATAAATGTTATTTTGTCCGATAGTTATTTGAAAACTATAGAAAAGGTGTGCAGTGTTTGTTTTTTTTTCCTTTTGGGATGGTAGGTAAAATTTGCAGACAATTATTGATAAGAAATATCTCACAATGGTGTCCGATAGTTATTTGAAAACTATAGAAAAGGTGTGCAGTGTTTGTTTTTTTTCCTTTTGGGATAGTAGGTAAAATTTGCGTTCAATTCTTGATAAGAAATATCTCACAATGATTGCATACGGGGAGAAGTTTTTATGATGGACTCTTTGAGTTGTTTCTTCACGTGTTTTCTTGCTATTTATGGATATACAAGGAAGAAATCTTGGTTTTGGTGAAGTTAGTAGCTAAACCGAATAATTTCATCAGGCTTTGGGGTCTCGTTTGTTCCCCTCCTTTAAAAAGACAAGGGGAGATGCGGCGTATATTTTGTTAATGATATTGCCAGCATCAGTTTACAGTCTTTGCCCCCTCAGAGACACAAAATTCCCCGTAGGGATCCCAGCTCTGACAAGGATGCAGATTTGATCTGAATCCCTTTTGCCGTGGTGTAACGGTGAGGTGGCACTTTCCCTTCTGCCGTACAGAAGCCGGGGAGAGCTTCAAGTGTGAGCGCTGCGGCAAAGTTTTTGCCTACAAGTACTACCGGGACAAACACCTCAAGTACACCCGCTGCGTGGACCAGGGGGACCGCAAATTCCCTTGTCACCTTTGTGACCGATCCTTTGAAAAAAGAGACAGGCTGAGGATCCATATTCTCCACGTTCACGAAAAGCACAGACCTCACAAGGTGAGCCTGCTCCCGGATCTCTCTGCAGTCACTGGCTCTTCTGAGGGTACTTAATAAATCTTTTTTTTTGGTCCAGATAAGATGCTGATAACGTTGTTCCTCCATTTTCCCTGGTAGTTTCCTGGTGGGACTTCTCAGGAAGAACTTGTCTTGTGCAGCAAAGCTTGGTTAAAGAAATTTAATGGGTTTAGGTTGGGAAAATAAACTCCACAGTCTCAGTTTAAAAAGAAACAAAATTTCTCCTGGGCTTTTTGCGTGGTTGCATATGAATGTTTCTCCTTTTCTCACACAGTGTGAGGTTAACTTGTGTTTAAAAGGTGCTTGGTTTGTCCAGGATCGGGGGAGAGATGTCTCATGTCTGTTTCCCACACCCCACCCTTCGGTCTGAGAACCGTCTGACAGCTTTATCTGTGTCTGTTGGACCAAACAGGGCTTAAAAGTTTTACGTTCAGTGTGAAGCAGATTTTCAATAGATGAAAGCAAATCTTTAAAATGCTTTACTCATCTCCAACAAACCCCTTGCTTCTAGTACCAGTTTTCTCTAGCAGCACTGGGAATGGAAAATCAGACTTTTTCTAAAAGCCTGGGAAGGGCAAGTTCTGGTGCTTGAAACAGCACAGTTAAATCAGTCCTCAAAATTCTCCAAATACCTGTTTTATAGATCATCCTACAATGTGTATATTTTTTCAGAAAAAATATTTTGTAACTAAAATGGCATTATTACAATGTCAGAATATCTGCATGGAATTCGTAACAGATAAATTTTCCATTAAATATGAGATATTAAATACCATGTAATTCCTTTTCCTTTCCCTTGCCTTGGTACATTTAAGATTGTTTTATTCTTTAGATAGTTTATCTTTCAGGGAAAAAAATTTAAACTGGGGCTTGATTCATATATATTTTGAAGTGATTTTACAGAAATGTTCATATTTTTATTACGGAAAATCAATATTGTCTGTTCTGTAAAATACCAATTTTTTATTGAAACAATTTTAACACCGATGATTTGAAATTTTACTTGGTTTTAATATATATATGTACATATGTGGATAAATTTTTTCTTAAAACCAGACTAAACATCTGGGTATTTCAATTTATTGCAGTTAAAATTGCTATCGTGTTTACACATGAATACATAAATACATGTGTATATCTAGATTATATGTAAGAAATGTGCACATCATCCACATACTTATTTTTTCCTTTTAACTGTGTAGTTACATGCTTCCTTTTAACTTTATTCCTTTTTTTCCCCCCAGTGCTCTGTGTGTGGGAAGAGCTTTTCTCAATCCTCCAGCCTGAACAAACACATGAGGGTTCACTCTGGGGAGCGCCCCTACAAATGTGTCTACTGCAACAAGGTAAGGAAGCCCTGCCCCATCTCTCCCTCTGCTGTGCTTTGTTTCTTCTCTGTTTTCTTTCAAGAAAATGCTTTTTAATTGAACTGGTAGCCAGATGACTGGGTGTATATTCTGGGCAGCTGTGAGGTAAGGTGACAGGACTGGATGAGACTGAAGAAAGAGGGTCTGGTCCCATCTGACATGGAATTTGTGGTTCATACCAGCTCAGTGATCTGCTGCAGAAATAAGGTCTAGGGAAGCTTGAGAGCTTTTCAAATACCATCCAAAGCATGCAGCTATAACCAGTATCCCACTTCTTCATCAGATAGATAATTTTTGGTGTTATTGACACTGCTTCTGGACTGCAATAAACAAGATTTGGTCTATAAACTGAACCTGTGCAATATGAATTTGTGCACGCTTACCTTGAATATCAAGGCTGTTGATGGGCAGATGGGCATGGAGGTTTCACTTAAAAAAAGAACACAAGGAGAACCATACAGCCCTGATCAAAGATGTGCTCTGCTGTTACTGCCCATCACAGCAGGGGTGATTCAGATGAGCTCTCCCTGTGAAAGTGCTGGCAGCTCTCACAGCAGACAGCAAGTGGATGCACAGGCTGCTGGAGGATGAATATTGGTAGGACTCCTAGTGCTGTGGAGCGTCCATGAAATACAGAAACTCCATCAGCAGTGGTAAGCTGCTACTGATTTTGTAGAGAGAGAAGTTTTCTGTATGACTGGCTGGACTAACACAAAGATGAAGTGTCTTGCTGAAGTGCCCTTAGAGGAAACTCCTTTTGGCTATTATATTTTTTTGTCTCCCCATGATCATCCTAAACATACTTGTTCTCAGAGATTAGGATGAAATCTCATCCTTAATCTTCTGATCACAAGAGGAGGTGGCAGAGCTTTATAGGTTGCTCTGTAAAGAGATGTCTCGGGACTCTTGACCAGTCCCCAGCCGGTTCTGGTTGGACTGCTGTGGATTGGATCAGATTAAACTTTTTGTCCTCAGGCTGCAGGATGCAGCTATCCTAGAACATAGCCATAATTACTGAGGCTGGAAAACCAGGGCCTGTTTTAAAGAATCCTCACTGGCTCCTCCTATGCGATTAAGATTCTTTTCCTCTTCTGCCTCTAACAGTGGCTTTGCTTTTCCAGCTCCTTTGCTGGAAATCAGTGTTCACTTACTTCAGGAACATTGTGAGATTAAAGGAACAGTGCTGGGTCAGCATCACCATTCTCTCTCCAAAATATATTTTTGCCCTTGGTATACACCTCTAAGGACTTATGTATAGGAGTCTGTGATCTTTTTGTGCTCTAAGGTTCCTAGTGAAAGGGTCTCTAATAAGATGTATTGCTGTTTGCCATGAAAACTTAGTAGATAGTATTTATTTTGTGTGGTCTGCAAAGAGTGAAGGTCCTGAAATTCTCTTTGGATAAGAAAAAATGGGGAAAACATGAGCAACTTTACAACATTCCTGCTCAAATTTTCGTGAGAGAGCTTTATCCCCAGATGGAGGAGAAGTCTTTATGACTTTGCTACTCAAAAGTGTTAGCGGTGGGGGAACAGGCTGGAAACTCTGCCTGCAGAAAGAGAAGAGTATGATGGAGCAGGGAAAATAACTTGTAAGTGATGTATGGTGAACTGCATAGACGAATTTTAGCAGCTGAATCCCAAGACAGTCAAAGGGTTTAACTTTAAAAACAAAAACTGTAAGGAAAGCCTGCATTATGTTTCCCACACATAAATGAGGTGCAAAGTTAATTAGGGTAGTATTGACTTCTTCCCTCTGACATATAGAAGATATTTACTGGTGTCTTTGGTCAGAAATCTTTCTCTGAGCTTCATATATCTCCACGGACTCAGCCACATCTGTATAGCAATAGCTGTTGCCTTCCGATTCCTCCTTGCTGGGAGTTTTCATTATTTTTTTCCACATGCCTGAGGAGTGGAAAGGTGAGCTATTTCAGGACTTAATTTTCAGGGTAGTGTGCTTCTGATGGCGTCTGGGTTAGCTGAAGGTGGGGATTGCACATGTGAAAGCAAATTACTTGCAACTCCATTTCCTTTCCCGCCCTGCCCTTGACGATCCCTGCCCTTTCAGGCGTTCACAGCATCCAGCATCCTGCGCACTCACATCCGCCAGCACTCGGGGGAGAAGCCCTTCAAGTGCAAGCACTGCGGCAAAGCCTTCGCCTCGCACGCGGCCCACGACAGCCACGTGCGGCGCACGCACAGCAAGGACAAGGGCTGCACGTGCTCCGTGTGCGGCCAGCACTTCCCCCAGCAGGAGGACTGCGACTTCCACATGAAGATTCATGCTGCTCACTAGTCAGGAGCCCCACGGACGTGTCCTGGACCAGCTCATTGTGCGTTTCAGTCTGTGTGTTTCTGTTTGTGCGTGGCTGTGTGCACAGGAGGTGACACCTGCAGTGGCTCTTGGGGTAGGTCTGGTCTCTGGACTCAGGGCACGTGACTGAGCACAGGGAACAGGGTACACCCTGATGCCACTCTCCTTCTCCTCCCATACTGTAATCTCTAAAGACAGGAAGGAATTCTACCTCCCAAAACCCCTTTGTGCACAAATATCACTGTGAGGAGTGTTTCTGCGTCTCCAATGCCTATGGACTGCCTGGTACAATCTGTATAAAAGCCTGTGTAAGGGATATTTTTATCAGGTGCATTTCTCAAAGCTGATTTAACCTGTTCATGTTGTTTGGACAGATGACCACAGGTGTGTGGTCTACTTACCCTTAACCTGTCTTTTAGTGATGTTCTATTTAAATGTGAACTTCTCAGAGATACTGGCTGCTGGACCAACAAAGAGCTATTTTAAATCATTTAGCTGCTGGGTGACTGAGAACTCCAAGGCTGTGAGAGCAACTCTTCCAGAGGGTGCTGGATGCTGGTTAGCCCAGAGGGAGAGAAGTGGGGAGTGGTAAGATATATGCAGGCCTGATATCCCAGCTAGCAGAGGTAGTGGAGGTTGGTTTTGTCTTCTCAAGAGTTTGGAGGACCAAACATGGTGATACTCCTAAGCATCAGTGAGCCAGTGAGTGGATAATGAGCAGTCAAGTGGCCTCACAGAGGTGTTTCACTGTAGACTCAGAGCAGGCCAGAGGCGAACACAATCCCAGCAGTGGGCTCTTTTTTCTGGATTTCCCTGAACCTCTCTGGTTCTGGCCAGGTGAATCTTTGCAGTGAACCTTGAAATGAAGGGTGGGCTTGTCTGCTTCCTCCTGGTTTTATGTTGGATTACTGTAAAGTGCTACCAGAACTCCTCAGTGCCTAAAACTTTGCACATAAAATTCTTTCCCTGGTCTGCAGGACTTTGCTTCCATGGGAGGACTGGAAGGTGTCATCCTCCATGTCTCACTGCCCGCACATGCAATGCAGGAGTGTGGTCAGTGAGACATTTTCAGTTCTTAAGAAAGTGGCATTCCATATCAATGTTAAATTTTAACTTAAGAAGCTTAACAAAAAGCCTGTGCTGAAGGACTGCTGAGGATAGGGAGTGCTGTAACTGCTATAGAAGTTTTAATTATCACTGAGTGACCACCACGACTGGCAGAAGGTTGTGCATGTGAAAGGTCTCACTGTGCTAGTGGGACTGTGTGTTGCATCAGGAGGAATAATAGAAGTCCCTTTTGGAGCTAGTTGATAAACACAGGTAGTTTGATATTACTGGGATGATAGTTCTCTTCAAAGTATCCTAGATCATCTAGAATTAACAAGAATTTTGTACATAAAGTAGAAGAAAGTTAAGTTTTTATTTTCTACAAACTCTATTGTTCTCTTTAAATACAGCATAGAAATAGAAAATATTTTACTTGTACATTCAATTATACTGTGCAGATACTGTATCTTTAAATATATTGATTTGCACTAATTTTATAAGATTTTTTGTATCTCTAGTTGCTCTGTTCTCATTGTTTTCATGGTAAAAATATTTTTTAGATATTTATTGAATCACTTACTGGTAAACAAAATATTGAGGCCCAGCACTTGGAAGTATGTGAAATAAGCAAATCCATTTGTATTGTATGTTTATGCATGTAGGTTTTAGAGTATGCTCTGATTATTGGTTTTTGCTTATTTTAATAACAAATATTACTATAATACAGCAGGTTAAATATTTTACATATTGAGGGCTGAATCCCTGACCTCTAAATAAGTAAAATTCACTGCCGAGCAGAAAATTATCACAGTACTTATGTGTACAAACAATGCTGTGAAACAGGGAGGGGAACTGAACCTTTCTTCCAGCTGCCTGCTGTCTAGGAGGATAGCTACAAACATACAAAATCATGGCCAACAGAAACAAGAATTGTGTGTGAAACCTTTGTTAGTTCAGTCCCTTATAAAAAAATCGGTATTTGGTGAAATAAACTGCCTACTAATGAAGGAAATGTTATGACTAGGAATGGCTTTGAAGTACTGTGAAATGCCTGATTAGCTTCCCGTGCAGGTAACCTCTTTTTTTTGTTCTGAATTAAGGTTGTATATTTAAATGTATGACTAGGAATGGCTTTGAAGTACTGTGAAATGCCTGATTAGCTTCCCGTGCAGGTAACCTCCTTTTTTGTTCTGAATGAAGGTTGTATATTTAAATTGTGCCTCTGTAGTGTTCTTGTGTACATTTTCATCTTCTTGAAGAAATCCCAAATGTCTTGTGCTTAATTATTTGCACCTTTCTATAGTATTTGATGTGTTGCCTGTAAAGGAGTGTGTGAAGGGTTATACTTGTGATTGAAGGTACTGGTTGCCTTGCACATTAAAAACGTGTATGTAAATTTTGATGCTAATTATTGTGCACAAAACTTCTCTATAAAAAGTTAGTGTCCATAAAGGAGACAGAGGAGTCCTGCAACTTTATTTGAATAGGGGGAGGGAGAGACCACTGGAAGACTGAGCCTTCTTCTATCCTAAACTCCGGGCTGCATGATGCCCTCTACTTTTCCCATTGGCTGAGGTACAGCCTTCCCGAGCTGCCTTGAGCGTTTGTCATTTTCTCCCAAAGTATGTAGGTTTTGCAACAGGGTTTGCTGACCCATTTTTCTATTACCACGAAGTTCAGGAGTTTAGGCTGTAGTCAAATTGTATGGGTTCTGTAACAAACTTTCAGCTTGACGTTGGTAGAGACATTAAGACCCATCTCAAAGACATTAACACCCGTTTGTCCTGAAGACCCTCACCCATCGAGTTGTTTGTGAAGACGTTAGCACCTATCTTTTCTATTATTAATATTATTACTCTTACGTTCATGCAAATAATAAAAATAAATTGTTAGAGGCTGCAGTGTACACTAATGGGCTGTGGCTTGTTTCCTGCCAGATGCAGAGTTGTGTATTTGAGGTACTAGCAAATGGATGAAGCGTGTTTTCTGTGTCATTTGTAAGTCGTTACAGAGTCAAACTGTCTCTTATTGGGAATTCTAGTCCTTGTCCTGATGGGCAGCAGCTGACTGCACAAGAAGTCAAAGGCACCCACTGTCTTGATGGATTTGGTCTTAAGTACCCTAACAGTTCATGAAAGCTGAGGGCATTCAGTTCTGGATTGAGTTCACTCCCACTTGCAAGCAAGATGATTGATCCGGATTGAGCACTAAAAAAAGGAATTCAACTACCTTGTAGCATTTAACTACCCTATAGAGTCATCCTCTCCCTTTTGAATAGTGAGTCCCAGCTGTGCTGGGGACAGGATGACACTTGGCTCTGCACACTTCACAGCAGGGTGGGGAGAAATGTATCAGGAGGGAGGTCACCCGCGAGACCACTGCAGATTTTAGTTTTCTGAAACGAAAGTGCGCTGATTGTCAGAGCAAACAGAATGCTGTTCTTGCCAGATGGGGGTTAGGAGAGATTAGAGAATCCTCCTGTAGTGTACCTGTACCCTGTGTGTGTCCAGTGAGCTCGAGGTTTTCCTCCCCGAGGATTTGCACATTTACTTGCACCGTTTGTGGCTGTGCTCTCAGCAGCTGAGTGAATGTGCAGCTCTAGCCAGCTCAGCCAGCAGTGGGCTTTTGGATATTTGTACACACCGCTAAGAAGGGGGGAGACTGAGGGAGCTTGTGTGCATGCTGCACTTTGATATCTGGCAGGATCCCAGAATGACTGCGTGGCACAGAAGGACATGTGCATGAAGGAGGCTGCACTGCAAGCTCAGCAGAAAAGAGAATATTTGTGACCATGTGTATAATCTCAGTCCTTGTGCTGGGCAGTCCCGGCTGCCAGGCCTGTCCTGAGCAGGCACCGTGGTGCTTCATGCTCCAGCAGCTATTTCTGAGCTGAGGCAGCAGAAAGGACATCCCTGCAGCTCTCAGGTGGCTGGGCTGTGGCTTTACAAGCTGTACGAAATCCATCTCTTCCATTTCTTGGCATCTGCAAATATAGGACAGAGGTGTTATTTTCCATGACAGTAAGTACAGTAATACACTATGTGCAATTTAGTGAGAAACACCCGTGTTTCTCACTCAGCTTCACTTAAACTGGCTGTGGGGTGGTGCCCCTGTCTGGGGCCACATTGTCAGTGCTTTCACTAAGGCAAAGGATATGTGTGCACCCTGGCTCTTCTTCTTCCCTTAACTAGGATTGAAAATGGTCCTCCCAAGGGGAGCAGCAAGACAAGTCCCTGGGACTAATCCGTCCTGTAAGACACTAGGTGATTTTAAGTGCTCTGCATTAACTCTGTGTGAGTTTTTTAAATGTTAATAGGAAGTGATCTAAATAGAAACCAGAGTATGAGGGCAATCAACTGTTTTGTTGGAGCAGAGGGGTGCAGGGAGAGAGAGACTGTGTGAGGCTAACTCCTGAAATGCTCCTCCTGGGTAAATGACAATGGGGAGACAAAAAAAAAAAAAGGTGGTCCCAGAGCTCAGGCTTGCAAGTGTGAGAGAACAAAAGGCCTGGCCGCAGACATCTGCTGCCTCTAGCATCTCCTGCATATCCCTGTTTTTCAAACACCTGGTCCCCAGCCCCTGCTGTCCCAGTCCCTGTCCTGCTGCTCACTCTGGAGAACAGGGAGGTGGTTAACCACTGAAGGAGGATGAAAAGCAGCAAGGAGCTTAGTGAATTGAAGATATGTCACAAACAAATATCGGTCAGTTCCAACCTATCCATTAAACAAGAGAGATTATTCACTAGAGGAGCCCTGACTGGCTATCCCCTTCTTAAGAAAGCCATTCCTTGGGTTCCCAGTCTCCTACAAGCCTTTGCAGCAAGTGCTGGTGTTTGTTTTACCCCTACAGACACAGTCACCATCATCTTCATTTGCCTTTCCCTCCTGATGCACATGCCCTTGCACTTTCTCCCTTCTGTCTCTCCTTAACACAGT